CTGCAGCAGTTCCAATTAGGGCTATACACAGGTAAAGGATATTTTTTTCAATTCAATCCTATTCAATTCTGCATACAATTATTTTACATTATTATACATACACAGCTAAGAAGTTGTAATGAAAATCTCATCATGAAAAGAATGGTAAACATTTTCTTCTTCTCTTAGTTCTTTCTATCACACATAACAGCATAAATTAACCATATCTTCTTTGATCAACCCCAAAGTACTTTATGGAGGGGCTCTATTTTAAACACGGATCTGTGTCTCGTTCCATGCTTCTGAACAGCAGAGCTAACTGTGGATCATTGAACTCAATGGGGCATAATTCAATTCTGCCACCCAGTGCATCAGAAGAGAGCAGTTGCCTGCATTCTAGTTACATCCATTGTTCTATCTCCTTAAGCATTAAATAATTAAAAAAGATTAAACATAAACATTTTAAACAAATAAATTTATGTGTCTCTGTCCTGGGTTTCTACCTTAAATCTCCCCCCTTTTTCTAATTGTTCCTTTAATATTTGCCTTATGGGGGTGTGCAGTAATAAATTAGTTTCTATAGTTTCGGTACATACCAGGCCTCAAGGCCTCTAGGCCTCACGTAGGCTGAAAAGCGTACCAGGAACAGAGATCACCAATCAACAAACACGTCATCATGGGCGGATAACTGTAATGCAGGCGCTGATTTGTTACCTTGCACCTTTCACACTACCATGCACTGTAATTGGATGTTACTATGTGTGCACTAATATTCCTTCTCATGTAACTTAATGATTGGATAGAATTCACTGCTTGTGACGTATCACTGTGTGTTTTTTAATAAAAGAGCTTCCCGAACTTGTGATCGGGGCAGCTCATCCAAGATAGAACCTGCGTTGGTGTCTTTCTTGATGCATTCGACCACCCAGTGGGCAGCCTTCCAAATGCGGAGCAAAGCCGCAGGGGTGTACAATGGCCTTGGAGAATAAAAAAATTTAGCCTGCTCAGAAGGAGCTGAAAGTCCAATTTGAGAAGATTTTGGAGTGACAATTTTTACCTGACCATAATCAGGAGGGGGGCTTATAGTCTATTATTATTTTGCTGAGCCAGACGTTTCCACTGCATGACAGCATTGATACCATCGATGTAATATTTGAACTGGAGCCTTGGGTTCAATATGTAAAGTATGTCCTATCTTTATCCAATCCTGTAACCTGAGCATCTTCCGCTCAGGGTCCCAGGGACAAAGCTTTCCTATCTCCTCAATCAGCGTTTTTCAAGCCTCAGGTATTTTTGCACCTGATTCGTGTAGTAAGAATCTAAATTCCTGAACACGTTCCTGCTGATGCTGAGATTGCAGCCCATACTTACCTCTGATCGGTCCCGTAGGACGGACCTTAGGGGTCTGTTCCAGACGAAGGCAAGTATGTTGGGAGCTGCGTCCCCGTAGGGTTCATGTCCCTGTTTGGGCACCAAAATGATGGGTTTCAATGATCAGTGATTGTGCAGGGTTCCAAGATGTCTGACTGCATGGGCAGTGTTTATTACATTTATAGGGTTTTTACAAGAAGACAAAGGCAACATAGATACAGCATCTGGATTGGAGAATAGATCCCACATGGGTAAAACCTCCCAACCACATTGGTACAACCTCCCAACCAATCCTTAGGAATAGTGGTGATGGTAGTAAAATGAGGTCACCTATAAGTCCGGGACTTTCCACCTTCACCAAGATATAGGGAATGAGATCATGCAGTAACAAAAGAGGCGCCCTTAGCCAAATGCGCAGTCTGCTGCTAGCATCTAGCACCATCCAGAGGATCTCAGTGGCTACTACACCTGTTGAGTTCATGAACATGGCCATTTAGTTTTCTTGGCAACTACCATACATAATAGTGATTTTGGTCAGTTTCTTCAGTTGCTGTATTCACTTCCTGCTCTAGTTTGCAGTGGTGGGATTCAAACTGGTTCTGTGGGCACGTGCGGAGTGTTCTAAAACAGGCAATTTTGAGCTTAAAAACTTACCTTACCATCAGCACTGGTGAGTAAAACAGCTGAGGCGCAGCAATCCGCTCTGCCGTGTGAATCAGCAGAGCTACAAAGGAAAGGGTGGGGCGGGTAGGTGGGGCCAACTGCTGACCGGCGCTACCGGATCACTAGAACCGGTGTGAACCGGCAGCATACCACCACTGGTTTTCAGCCATGAAATTCCCTGAAAAATTATCATCCAAATCTTGACCAGCACTCACCCTGCTTAGCTTTGGAGCCTAGATAAGGTTAGCCAGGAGCTGCTACCTGCCAGTCTCCCAAGATCTTAAGATACTTCAATAGGAGGCATTTTTATAGGATCAGAATGAAGATTTAGGAGTAGGCTTCCTCAATTTGGTGATCTCCAGATTCATTATACTACATCACCTGTTATCTCCAGCTGACATGTAATAATGTGAAGTTGTAGCCAATGCATCTGAAGGTCACTGGGTTGAGAATGTCAAATGACTTACAAGTCATCCTTGACTTACAACCATTAATGACTGTTCAGAGTTACAATAGTGCTGAAAAAAAAAAGACTTCTGACCAGTCCTACAATTACAACTATCCCAACATCCTTGCAATCACGTGTTCAAAATGGGTCTGACTCATTTAATGACCACATTGTTTAGGGATGGAAGTTCTGGTCCCACTTGTAGTCATAGTGCCTTTCCAAAACAACGCCTGCCCAATTTAAAAGTCCAATTTTCTGTGTTTTAAAAGGTCTTTAGCTTTTCTCCCCTTAGTTCCTTTTCTTTCGGGTCTAGGATTTTTCTCTCTATGGTAGAGAGAAACTTTGGATTTCTCTCTTTTTTTCTTTAAAGTTAGGGTCTAAATAAAAAGGAATCTTCTCACCCAGCTCTAATCACTGTTCATCTGCATCGCTCTTGCACAGTTCTTTGTTCCCTCGGCTGTCCCAGCTTCGTGGCAGCCATGATGGCTGCCTCTTCTCATCAAGGGAGAGGGAAGAAGCCCTGAGTCCAGCAGGAGAGTTGAGGCTGTCCCCAAACCACAAGGCACCCCTCTTTTCTTCACCACCCCTACAGGGTGGCTTTAGCTCTTTTTGGAGCCCTCCAACAGGGAGAACTCGGTGTGGAGCACAGAGACCCGCTCCTCATGTCCAACAGCGCTGCGACATCACCTGGAAGTCCCATATGGGTAGCAGTTTTAAAATACATGAAATTAACAAATCAAATCCATACTGGTGCTTACAGGTAGTCCTTGACTTACATTTATTTAGCAACCATTCAAAATTATAATAGCACTGAAAAAGTTACTTAGGACAGGTCCCCATACAACCAGCACAGCATCTCCATGGTCACATGATCAGAATTCAGGTGCTTTGGAACCAGCATGTATTTATAAAGTTGCAGCATGTGATTGCCATTTGTGGACCTTCACAGCTGGCTTCCAATAAGCAAAATCAGAATAGGAGGCAGCAAATTTGCTTAATGAGTAACATTTGCAGTGATTCACTTAACAACTGTGGCAAAAAAGGTTGTAAAATCAAGTATGACAGAACAACCACCTACCTTAGCAATAGAAATTCTGGTCCCAGTTGTGGCCATTAATTGAGGACTACCTGTACAGTCACTACCTGTATAGTCATGCTGAAGAAGCTGGCATACAGGCTTTAAGCACCAAGATCAAAATTTTCTTATCCACCATGCTCCGCCTGAGACGCTGAGACCATTGTAAATATATGCTGGTTGCCAGACATCTGAAATTTGATCATGTGACTGGGGAAACTGCAATGATCATAAGTGTGAGAACTGGTCATAAGTTGCTTTTTTCAGTGCCATTGTCATTTTGAACAGTCATTAAATGAATGTTGTAAGTTGAGGATTTACCCATACCAAATATTTTGACTTACCAGGTCAAACCAGGTTAACACCCTTGATGTGAATGAAGTTCAGGTGCCTGTGAATTGATATCTTCCTTTTCAGATGCAGCTCTGATAATCAAGCTGTCCACTAGTCAATTGGTGGTGTGATGGTCCCCCAGTGCTACACCAGTCGTGGTGGCCATGACAGGCCCTGCCATCCTTTCCTACCATTTCAAGAGTTTCTGTGGAAAGTTTGAGTGGGTGGAAAGTGCCTTGGAATGATTGGAGGCCAGTGGCTTCTACTGGGGCAGCCTGTCAGGGGCTGAAGCCAAGAGGCTCTTGACTTCACAGCCTCCTGGTGTCTTCCTGGTGAGAGATTCCTCCGACCATCACCTCTTCACCTTGAGTGTCCGCACCAGGACAGGCATCACCAACCTACATATTCAGCAGCAGGACTCAGCTTTCCACCTGGAGGCCTTGCCAGGAGCTGGCCATCCCCCAGCCTTCAGTTGTGTGGTCCAGTTAGTTGAGTATTATCTCTGCCTTGGGGCTCTTGAAGGGGGTCCCTGCTCCTTGGAGAGTGAGGGTCAGCCTCCAGTGCCTTTGGCCCACACAGCCACTCCGTTGCAAGGTGCCCATTTTGCAGGAGCTGTGACAGCGGGCTGTACGAGCCAGTGTGCAGGGCAGAGGTGACACCAGGGCTCAGCTGCAGAGGCTGCCAGTCCCCCAGGCATTATTGAACTCAATCTGCAGCTAAAAGGAAGAACTAAAGCAGCAGTTTTAAGTCCTTTTAATGTATGCAGAGTTGGGGCCTTCCTTGTTAGAACGGATGAACAGAGCTGGTTGTAGATAGTGTACTGCTGATGCTCCACTATTTTCTTGGAATAAACCATCTGACAGATAAGCCAAACATTTCATTGTGCAGCTATTTATAATGAGCCTTCCAAAAGCTACTGAAAATTATCTGAAAAAAGACTAGCAGAGTAGATTAGTCAATGATCTGGAGATGCCTATCCTATATAATCCGCTTCCCCATTTTTCCAAGCTAGCCACTTCCACATTTCAAACGCTTCTTGTGCAGAGGTAGAAGTATAGCAGAAAGTTTTTACTCTATCCATAGGCAGAGCTGCCTTAAGCACCTCCCAATTGTTCTCATCTTTAGTTGAAAGTTGTTGAAAGGTGCACAAGTTTGTGTGAAACAGTCCTGAGACAAATATCTCTGCTAACTGCACAAGGAACTGCACTGCCCAGTAGTGAAATCAACAAGGACAGAATTTGTGTTTAGCTGCAACTATTGTGCATCTTTCTCTACAAACTCTCAGGTGGACAAGAAAATTGTACACCCAGTAACAAGGAGAATGTTTGAATCTACAACCAAGAGCCTTCTCTGGTTTCTTTCTTTAGAATATACTGTAAATAACCTCAAGGTCAGTCTGAAGGCAGATTTTGAGCAATAAGCTACACTGCACCAAATCCACAGCAGTCCTCTCCTCCTCCATTTCCACTTTGACCACTGTGTGATCCTGACCTCTCTCCTTCCCCCATTTCCAGTCATCCCTTTAGTAAAGGTCATTACTGTAACTTGACAGCTTTCAAGAATGCCGACTCAGAAACCAGTTACAAGAAAGAAAAAAAGTTTAACATTTTTATAGGCAACTAGCAGAGATATACCACTCAAGTGTGAGGAAAACGAACATTGGATTACCTGAATGTTCCTTTTCTTCTGTGGTGTAGTGAGTCCAGATAGGTTGGGTAATATCAGCTCACACCTGTTGGACTGAGTCTGCTCCAAAATTCAAGCTCCGCCCTATGCTGTGGCCACTCCATAGCTTTTGATGAAGCACTTGGCAGACCTGATGTGGTACTGTAGTTGCAAGATAAAAAGAAAACCTATTATTGCTCCCCCAGCCCACCCCAGACCAAACAGGGTGGGGCTGGACTCACTACACCACAGAAGAAAAGGAACATTCAGGTAATCCAATGTTTGTTTTCCTATCTGTGGTTACGTGAGTCCAGATAGGTTGGGACATAACAAAGCTGGTCAGTTCCAGGGAGGGCAAGAGTCTGGTCCTACTTACATCAGTGTTCATGCACACTTTGTAGAACCCTTCTGCCAAAAGCGGCATCAGCTGCAGCAAAGGCATCTAGACGATAATGACGAATGAAGGGAGACGGTGAAGACCATGTGGCCGCTCTGCAGATCTCCTCAACGGGCGCTTGGGTAGCCCATGCCGCTGTCAT